AAGGCTGTGCAATGATCATTTCTGAAGGGCATTGATTATATCTGGGGAGGGACAGTTAAACAGGAGTCTGCAGGGCAGGACAGAGTGGGTCCCTCGCCTACGTTCGTTACTGAGTTGAGACAGAATTTTACATCAGTAAAATTAAGTAGTAATGTAGTAATAAAGTAGCAATTAAGCAGTAATGACTGCTACTTACTGATTTTGTAACTTAATCCAATAATCAGAATATATTAAATAAAATATTACCTAAAATAACATCTCAAAAAGATTTCCTTGTGGAAGGTTCTTGGAAACAAGCAAACAAACAAAAAATGCAACTTCTTTTTCTTTTTTAAACGCTACATGAAAATTCTCAGGGAAAAGATCTGTCTGTGGCCGAGTCTCTTCCAAACCTGGCCGAGCACTATCTCAGGCCACACACGTTCTCCCAGGTCCTCCCCATCGGAGGGGCACCCACTTCCCCTCCCTGGGGGCTGAGCTGCCTGGGGTGTGGCGGGAATGAGACACCAGGTCCCAAGTAGAGACATGAGCCTTGAATGGGCTCCGAGCTGCAAGGAAGCTCATTATTCAGTTTATTTCAATTTGCACATGAAACGAATCACCCATATGCCCTAAAAACGCCTTGAGGTCCTTGACGACCACCTGATCATCTGTGATAAAAATTTAGGCAAGAAAAAATTCTGACAGTGTGTTAACTACAGCTTTGCTTCCTTTGAGGAGCACATGTAGGCACCTGTCTGATAACAACCGCTGTCACATGGCAGACGGGAGTGACACACAGGTGCCAGCTCGTTTATTTCTCACGGGCAGCTCTGTTATCACCCCTACGTGCTGGTGGGGAAACCGAGACACAGAAAGATGAGGGAGTACACTGCCCCAAACCACAGAGCTAAATCACGGGGGCAGGCGGAGGGAGGCTACGTCGTGTGTAAAAGGAAAAGCTGACGAGGTCTCACTTTCCACCTGGGCAGCTGGGAAACTACAGGTTGAATGAGTTCAACACAGCAACCGCTGTGCAGTCAACAAACGCACGTGCCGACTTACTTCAGCTCTGCGTTATGTTTTTTGTATTTTGTTTCTTTTTCTTATTGCAAGTTAACTCAAGCCTTGTGAAATAAAGACACACATATATGCACACATATATATATTTGTATGCACTTAAAAATATATAATTATTAATAATATTATATACTTTATAATTATATACTTAGAAATACATGCAAATGTTTCTAATATGAATGCTTTCCCCCTAAACATTAAACATCGACAACTCTCTCTCCATTACCTGAGCAGTGAACTAGTGATTTTCACAGGATTTTGCCCTTCCCTGCAACGCGCACGTGGCTTAGCTGCGTAAAGTGCTCTGACCTGACGCGCGGCCGCGTTCTCACGATCCTATGACCCTGTGGAGCTGCACTAGCATTCACCCCACGTGACAGGCACTCACCCCTCTGCTCTGACTTTTGAGATGAGGGTCGCATCTGGGAGGATCCACAGTTGCTCTGGAAAGAGCAGGGGTGCCCTCTCTTGGAGACCTCTCTCCTTCGTGGGTACAGTTAGGGAGACCTAGGGCTTCTGCTCACCTCGGCTGAATTACCTGCCCCTGCTTTAGCTCTGGGGCACGGGGGTGGCGGCGAAGGCCCACCTTCCTTCCTGCCTGGATTCCAAATGACAGGGCTAGCTCGTGCCACGTGTGTGGCCGTGAGGTTCCAAAAACAGCTCAGCAACTGACCCACCACAAAACACCCTGGTTCCCCAAAGCCGAGACAGCACGTGGTTCTTGTGGGGCTCCCGAGCCCTAAGATGCTTCCTTCCTCTGTGGGTGACCAGGCAAAACCCCCCGAGTGTAACCCCCACAGTCGGGGAGAAATTACAGGAGATTTACAAGTGCGCTCCAGTGAGTTATTACTTGGATCTAAATCCTTCAGTGAAACTCTCCCAGAGAATGAAAAAGTAAATAGAACTCTTAAGCGCGTTGCCAAGTCAGTCCTAAGCGTTCACCACACACGGAGGAAGTTGCCCTGGTTTGAGTTGTGCAACTCATGCATCAGGCACGTGAGCCAGTGACTCAGGCACCTGCGTGGGGGGCAGCGCCGGCCAAGGAGCCTCTGGACTCCCGCGCAGGACTCTCACAAAGCTGGCCTTCCCAACCTCCACCGAGTGTCCTGAAGACGCAGGTTAGGGGAAGGCTAAGGGCCTCCCCCACACCCCTCACCGGCCCCCAGTTCTGCTGACACATGGACAGAACGACGACCAGGAGCCTGAAGAGAATCGCTAAGTGGCTGCTGCGGACGCGTGGCTCAGGGACCATCACGAAAGCGTGGTTTCTTCTTAGATTCGGGGAATTTCTGTCTAGTCAGCGAAAGACCTTTTTTTTTTTTTTTTGCAGTACGCAGGCCTCTCACTGCTGTGGCCTCTCCCGTTGCGGAGCACAGGCTCCGGACGCGCAGGCTCAGCGGCCATGGCTCACGGGTCCAGCCGCTTCACGGCATGTGGGATCCTCCCAGACCGGGGCACGAACCCATGTCCCCTGCATCGGCAGGCGGACTCTCAACCACTGCGCCACCAGGGAAGACCTTTTTGTAATGGGAGGGAGCTGCTGATTTCACCTCGAGTGACATTTGTACACTTCAGGATTTAAAATCGTACATATTTCCTCCAAAAGTAGATTGTCAAGATGGATAGCCAAGATTATTTCAGCCTCTTTTCCCCCCATCACTCTGTACCTTTAGACTGGGGTGGCTTTGGACCCCAGGAAAGCATTAGGACTGGGAGACTATGAAGTTCAAAAGCAGACGCCCGACAGCTCTGCAGCGCCCACGTCCGTGTGACTCAGGACGGCAGAGCACAGAGCAGTGGAGCCCAGGAGGTGTCCTGGGTCCCCCTCACTCATGGTCACGCTTCCCCTCTGCTGTGACTCAGCGGCATCAGCTGCAATGCCCTGAAGGTGACAATTAGGGAACTACTCCCTAATCGCGCTGATGGGCTGCGAGCTTGGCCCGGGACCGGTACCTCCAATCAGCAGATATTCCAGCCCGTCTCCACGGTCAAGGCACCACATAGTCAGAGCAGACAAGACAGGCAGAAGCTGGCTTGTGGCATTATTCTTCGGTAAAAGGCAAATCTAACTTTGTGACAGGACTGAAATATTTGCATTTCCATTGGCTTTCACATGCAACTCCAGATAATAAAACAATTCTCCAAATTGAGTATGCATTTGAGAAGGTTAAAAAGGGCTGCCTTTTAAAGTTATCCAGGAATTACACCATGTTTATAACTTAAGGAAAAGGCTTATTATAGATCTTTTTCACACTATGTCATACAGGTATTATATAGAGGCAATATAATTGTGGGGTGTGTGTGTGTGTGTGTGTGTGTGTGTGTGTGTGTGTGTGTCTGACAGTAAAAGACCGGCTGACGTTGTTTCAAACAATCCTAACAGTGCTACACCTGGGTAATGGTAAATACGATGTTTGCTTTAAAAGTAAGTGAGCTTAGACGAAAAGAAATTCTAAAACTTACTCTTATTCACATATAGAACCCAACTATGGACATTTCTACTCTGTCATTCTCTTTTATGTGTTTATACACATATGTAGTTAGAATACAGGCCTAAAGACACCTTTATCTTTGAGGTTTACAGGCAGATTTAGCGTTAAAGTCACTGACAGTCAGACGTGCCTCCCTCTATAGTCCAAAGGCCACACCCTACTCTCCAAGCCAGGAGGCCATCCTCTACTCCTTCCTCTGCCCCTAAGGAGTGGAAACCCCACTACCTAGAGGCGCTGGACTGTGTTCAGGTCCAAAAAATCCCTATGGAAATCATCGTGAAGCAGGCAGAATCCGGGAGAGAGTAACAAGTACTGGCCTCCTGTCTGATTTCCATTTAACTAATCCTCAGTGTTTTGTCTCTGGGCCTTTGGGTTACATTGATTTTCATGGAAGCCTGTGATACTGAAAAAGTGGGCAGCGGTACTTCTGTAATTACGTGTTCTGCTCAAGAAGGAAGGAATTATAGAGAAGGAAAGGATTTTTCAGAACGAGCAGGTAAATCAGGAACAAAGAAAATTGGGATGGATTTTCCTGCCTGACAAGGGAAGCGTAAAGAAACCCTTTCCAGAAATGAGCAGAGACCAGGCCAGGAAGACGGCGGGGAGGCCTTGTTCCTGGAGTGTCAGACCTGCAGGCTGGGCTGACTGTGGCCAAGGCTCATCTTAGCAGCTGGAACACCGGGCCCTCTTGTCTGATAAAGGAGACCTCAGGATCTGGCTTTCAGCCCTCACACTCCAGGAATACGAATACGTGGAGAAAAGAGCGATGCCCCCGGGCAGGGCTGCCCGTGTTCCAGTTTGGCCTGTGATGCTGGGAGAGTAATCCACGGTCACTGTCACGCGGCAGAGGTGGACCCAACAGTGTTAATACCGGAACGGGTGGGAGCCTGCCCGTTCACTCCTGGGGTGAGAGGCAACCTCTATCTCTAGGGTGATGAAAATGTAAACTCTTACAGAAAACACATTTCCCAACACCTCCTGAGTCACTCTTTGTAGTTAAAATAAACACCACCGTATCCAGGCTCTGGGACTATTTCTCTTCCTTGTTAGCTATTTTTTTTTACCAGAACTGCTTGGCCCGCCAATGCCCACACCCAATTGATCAAGGAGATGACTAGAGAAATAGCATATAGCAAGGGAAAATCTGGGAAATTTCCGGTGTCTGTGGGTCCAAAAAGGCATGCGAAACGAAACCAAAAGCAAAAACAAGATGAGGACGGCTACCATGGGCGGCCAGGGCAGTCCCATCCGGGAGACGGATGGATGTTCCCAAGAGGCTGATGAAGCGGGCTCGGCCTCCAGGTTTCTACAGAGGCCGCATGTCTAATAATGAGAACAGATTCACGGATTACTCGCGTAATTAAAAAAATTAAGACCTTCTCCAAATGAGAACGTGTCTGCACACGATTCTCATATGAAATCCCATCTTCTAATTTTTATATTACGTACCAAACACGTCACTGTCTTCTGAGGTCTCCCGGGAAAGGTTACGAAGGTTTCTCTTTTTTTCAGATTCTCCTCCGTTAGTTTCACCATCCTGGAAAAAACAACACAAAACAACCCTTTCTTAAGATACAGTGTCTTATCAACAAGAAGCTTTAATGCGTTTTTCTCTTGATACATTTTGGAGCCAACAAACACATTTTCATGTCTGTCTTCAAGGTATGAGATGGAATCTCAGTTCAGGGTGTTTCCTGCGGAGGAGTCCGAATTCTGGCTCGGTTTCTCTGCCTGAGCACGCAACCATTCTCTTGCTCCAGCGGATATACTTTCATACAAAAGAAACTGAAGTTATTAAACTAAACGAGCTGAACATCATCCCATGTATTTCAGGAGCCTGTCCACTTGGTCGCTGTTCTGGGCCGTGAGTTTAAAGCGTGGGATGAAACTGACACCAAACCTGACTCCCCTGAATTCCAACTTTGCTCAATGGTAGCCAGGCAGGAGAGCCCTGGGGGAGAGCCCCTTGCAGGGGCAGGAATGGTGCAAACGTCCTCGGCCCACCTGGCCAGCTGAGGGGAGTAGCAGGCGCCATGCGGGCTGGGCTGCGCACCCACCTCCGCCCTCGTTCCTCTGGGAATCTGCACCCTCAGAGGTGAGCTTTCTTCACTCCCCTCCCACCCGACTCCCTTCTGCTTTTTTATGGAACCCCAGGGTGCTTTTTGAGTTTAAAATTGTAAGTGCACAGAGAGATACGGTTCAGTTTCTACTGTAAATCAAGCTTATTTAATGATTTTCATATGGAACGCGTGCACCTGACATCAAATTCAGAGGGCACTGCGAGGGTCACGGTGAGAAGGGTGGGATCCCCGGGCACCTCCCCTGTGGATGTGCTTCCAGCTTCTGTCTTCCTCCAAAACAGTCTGGGCACAGTTCAGCCACTGCACAAGCTCACTCCCTTCTTCCTCCTTTTTACCTTTACGTAAATGCCAGCACACTCTGGACGCTGCTCTGCTTCTTCGTCACTTAAGCAGGAGCCCTGGAGATCGTGTCCCCCAGGACACGCAGCACTGCCCACACTGCCCTGCTTCTTATTTGTCACTTAAGCAGGAGCCCTGGAGATCGTGTCCCCCAGGACACGCAGCACTGCCCACGCTGCCCTGGTCGACAGGGACCTGGCACCTCTCTCCATCTCTCTTGCCAGGTGACCAGGCTCCCGCTGGGGACCCTGTACCCCGCTGCCTCGTCTTCAGTTATGCCCAGTGCTGCCTTAAGCCTTGCTCGCCTACTCAACGTTGTACGAGACACATTTCTGGAGGTTGAAAGAGTCACACCGTAATCTTTTAAAGACAGTGCCTAACTTGGGCAGATCCACAAGGGGGTCCGCCGCTCCGGACTCTGGTCTCCACGCTTACTTTGCGTCCCTTTTTTTCAGACCAATCTCTCTGCCTGGACCACACCCTACCTCCTGACCTGGGGGTGGGGGTGGGGGGTCCAGGCAGAGGTCAGAGCCTCTGGGAATTCTGACCTCACCCAGCCCCCAGCCCCGCCTCAGTGGTTTCCCTGCCCCCAGCCCCCTTCCTGTCCCCCCAGCCATAGATCTGAGCTGGTCTCTACTGCAGACACCATCACAAACGCCCTGTCTGTGTATCACTCTGTCTCCCCAGCACACTGTAAACTTCTTGAGAACGGGGACCTTGCCTGATGAATCTTTCTAGCCCCAAACCTGGCACAGTGCCTGGTATCTAGCAAGTGCTGGAGAGAAAACTTCAATTTTATGCTGTTTAAGAATAGTTTAAAATAGATAACTTCTGTTTCAGCAGAGGGAGCCAAAGGTGGTGTAGTATATAATTTTTCATGTCTACCTATTTATTTTTAGAGGAGAGTAAAACTTGGAAGAGAAGGAGTACACACGAGTACAGAGGACAATATGATTTTAATCAGCCTTGCCTTTTTAAAACACTGAAGGTCTCGAGGTAGCAATTTTAGGAGGAATGGCCCAGAGGATAAGTTTCTAATCGTTGTAGAAACTTCTGAAAAATAAAAAGAAAGCTCTGGGAGAGGAAAAGAAAACACTGCAGGCACATTTCTAAAAAGTTAAAAAGTTTTCAAAAGTTCTGATTCAAACTAGAAAACACATATCAGGAGAGGAAAGGTGTGAACCATTTAAAAAGTGACATTCTAAACTGAAAAAACAGTTACATGTTAGTATTTGAGACACGGTCCACCATAGGTTGCTTAACAAAAAGAAGGAGAAGTGAGAACTGATTTAGAGAAGTTTGCCACACCTTAAAAAAAGACATTTCGTGAGATGCCATAAAACTTGAGTGGGACATGCTGCGTTTAGACGCAGGGTCAGTCTTATCTGGTTCTATTTCCTCAACTGTATCCCATTCACTCACTGATTCCCATGCGGACCTTGTAGTAGGAGCTGAGGATGCGGAGAGAAATGAGCCGTGGGGCCTCCTTGGGATGCTCACACGAAGTAAACACAATGGATGTTTCAGAAAGAAAATCAGAGAACCATCAAGCCACCCCCTGACAGATCAGTGCCGTTTAAACCGGTACCGGGTGAGCCAGCTTCCTGAGCCGGCGTCACACTTACTTCTGCTGAGACACCCTAGGAAAAAAGTACATAGTGATTCACCGTTTTTAACTCTTAGGATGTTTATTTAGCAAGATAAGCTGCACTGGTCACGGCCCTCCGTCCTCCCGCACCGTGCTCCTTCTGCATCTTATCCTTGACTGATGTCATCTTAAAGAGGAAAGAAGAAACCCAGCGGAGCTTTCATGACGGCTTCACCAGCGACACATTCACCCATCACCCTCCCCAGCCACGTTTCAGCCTCACGGGCTTGCCTTACAGAACACAGGCTGGTCAGATGCTCTGGGTACCGGTCACCGTCTGGCCTTATGACCCTCATCTAAGTGCCACTAAGTCTGCTGTTTCTCAGGGCACCACGTGTATCTTCGACCTGAGGTCACCGTGGAGGGGATGTTACTAAAAGACAAATATTTATTTTCCTTTATCTTCTGCCATATTCACGTAGCTGATAGATTTAATCCACCTAGAAATTTGCTGAAAATGGCTTGGGGCACAGGATCAGCGGCCCACATAGTACACTGCACCAAACTGTTATCTGCACAAAAGCTTAAGAACTGGGTCTCTGAGGCCCATTTCCTGGACTTGAATCCTGCTGCCCCACCTGCCAGCCGGGTAACTGTGGGAAAACAACTGAAGTTTCCTCTACTCCGTTTGCCGAAGTGTGAAATGAGCGTCATAACTCAGAGGTTCTTGCTGTCTGATTAGGACATTCCTGTGAATTGAAGATAATTTTAAGATTCTGGTTTCATCAGAAGAATGGTAGACAAGCCTTCCCATAACGCTGGGGAGATAATTCCCAGAAGAAACGGAAGGAGCGATGGCAACAAGTGAGCATCTTTGGACATCTTTTGTGGACTCGTCGCTCTGATACACGCTTTGTGACACAGTCCTTCTTCCCACTCATTTCTCCCTGGAGGTGTCAACCCGGGGACTCAAGCAGAGGGCGGACAGCAGCTCCAGAGTCGGAAGGCAGAGTGTCCCCGATGGGAATGCTGACGGGCTGACTCGCATCCACGGTGCTGGAATGTCACCCATCTCTGGTGTGGTCACCCCCTCGGCTCCCGGCACTGCCCATGGCTCCCGGGAGCTAGCATGGGCTCAGCCACTGGGGTCGCCGGGACACCCCAGTCCAGCGTCTTCCCAGGAAGGAGATAAGCTAGCGGGAGACCTGAGGTGTGGGCACCTGGGGTGGAGGCCGGGATGCTAACTGGTCAGTTCCTCGCCCTGGGAGCACTTTGTGCTTTCAAGGAAAATTGTGGAATCTAAGGGAAACTCTCTCTCTCTCTTTTGTTTTAAGAAGCAAGTCATTCCTTTCACGCTCAGAATAAATCCGGGCCCCATATGGGCTGGCTGTACGTGTTTAGCTTAAATTCCTACAGCACTGCTCTCTAATCACATCTCAGAGATCTCAGCTGCCACCGGAGGGGGAGAGGGAAGCAATGAGACTGTCCCCGCCAACAGCCCATCAGCCCACGGCCGTGCGGGTGCTTCAGGGACCAGGACGCATGCGGGGAGGATCAAATCTCCTGGTATTTTCTGCGGCTGAAAAAATCCTCCTGCATGTTCTTGTTATTTAAATCTGGTGATAAACTTTGTTTGAAACTGTTAAAGTACTAAAGTATCAACACCAGAAAAAATCGTGTGTGTGTGTGTGTGTGTGTGTGTGTACACGTGCGTATGTCTATGAGTGTGTGTGTGCTTGTGCGTATGCATGTGTAAGTGTGTACTGTTTGTACAAAGTAATAAGAAGTATATAAAAATAGCTCTTATTACTTTGCACTTATTATTCGGCATTTTTGGTTTATTTCTTAAACAAGGATCACAGTTTTGCTCTGGGCTGGATTTGGACAAGTAACAGACGATACCAGCAAAACACTGAAAGCTTATGGGATCAATGCAAAGAATACGAAGAAACATGACAATCAGACTCACATAACCCGACTCATCTCAGTGGCATGTCCCTTTTTATGCAGCATCAGAACAGGATGGAGACAATCAGGCAAAAGTGTGACCTTAGCCCATCTAGACCAGGGCTTCTCAACGCTACATCATTGGTATTTAGGGCTGGATAAGCCTCGTTGTGGGGCAGAGGCTGTCCTGCGTGTCATGGGACGTTTAGCTCCTTCTTTGTCCTCCACCCAGGAGACGCTAGTAGCCCCTGCAGTTGTGACAAGAAATGTCTCTAGACATTGACAAATGTCCGGAGGATGGGGGGGGGGTCCCCTGGTTGAGAGCCACTGGTCTAGACAAAGAGAAGCAACAGAGGCGGGGTGAAAATTGTGAATCTGTTCACAAACATATAGGACGGTGATGAGTTTTTCATGAAGACATTCTGTGGGTCATCAGAACTGCACTTTTAAAGAATGATTTGAAAGCAGGGCCCACATGACAAGGATTAGAGAAGGACTGAGAATCAGACTTAACTTAGTCATTAAAGCAGGTGCTGCCTCAGCAACGGTTTCTTAGACGTGACACCAAAAGAAATCATGGAT